CAGCGACTCTGTGTATGCGTTCTGTTTCGTTACAGTGTGATTGTTGTTCCGGTTTTACGTTTTAAAATATTGAATTTTGGATATGAAAAGATGTGGTTCGGTATTATTTGGGCTCGACCCGAATATTAAGAGAAAAATTAAAAAAAACTGTTGAAACATACATTGAGGGACCTTGAGAAATGATTTCGGTGTGGATCAACTTGAAATTCGCAGTTTTTCTACTAATTTCTTTTACCCGATGATATAAAAAATGGTACCACAAAATATCTAAAACGCAACGTTGGGCTCAAACTTGTAGTTCTGTGATTAACATTGCCGTAGGAAATGTATATAGATACAACAACTTTTTTTGTATTAATGTGTTTAGCAGTATCGTAATGCTTACATAGCACTGAAAGTTCCGGGCCCCCACGATAATTCGTGAACTATTAATGACATCCTCAAAGTGTATCCCCATTTTTTTGACCCTAGCAGGTCATGCTCAAGGTCAAACCCGTGTACGGTGATATAACTTGAAGTAATCGTGTAGGGAAACTACAAAGAAATAATTTTCATGATTTTCCCCGGTTATACAATGGTGACCCTGGATCTGACCTTAACAATTATGACCTTCAAGGCCATGTGAAGGTCAAGTAGATTTTTGTAGCCAGAGACGAATCCTGAAAGAACAGTTAAGTCAGTTTATCTGGGGATTCTGAATTATCATGAAACTAAGGTGAACTTGTGTTGGACTTTGATGGTCAAGTCCAAGGTCTAGTTCCAAAAATGATGAAAGACATATTCGATCATACAATTTTCCCTTGTCTCCATTTCCGCGGTCAGAAGTATAGGGCTTCAAAAAAATAGAGTTGATCTTCAAATAATCTTCATTAGGGTCAAGGTCATACCCAAGGTCACCATTGGGTATCCGGGGAAAAGCAAGAAAATAATGTCTCGGTAGTTTCCCTACACGACTACTAGTTTTCAAGTTATATCACCGTATCTGAATTTGACCCAGACTATGACCTCCTAAGGTCAAAATCCAAGAATGATTTAAGACCATGAACATAACATGAAATTTACCGCTTTTCCACTTACGCCGTCAAAAATAGGGGATTCTATTTAAAAAAAATCGATTTGAACTTCAAATGACCTGGAATGCAAGGTCACCATTGGGTAGCAGGAAGTGGAACCACCTATTTTTGACCCCATAAATAAAACGAGCGGGAACTTTTACGTTCAAATATGATCCTGACTTCTTAAATTTTGACCCTAGCAGGTCATGGTCAAGGTCAAACCCAGGTACGATGATATAACTTGAAGTAATCGTGTAGGGAAACTACAAAGAAATAATTTTCATGATTTTCCCCGGTTATACAATGGTGACCCTGGATCTGACCTTAACAATTATGACCTTCAAGGTCATGTGAAGGTCAAGTAGATTTTTGTAGCCAGAGACGAATCCTGAAAGAACAGTGAAGTCAGTTTGGGGATTCTGAATTATCAAGAAACTAAGGTGAACTTGTGTTGGACTATGATGGTCAAGTCCAAGGACAAGTTCCAAAAATGATGAAAGACATATTCGATCATATAATTTTCCCTTGTCTCCATTTCCGCGGTCAGAAGTATAGTGTTTACAAAAAATTGACCTTCAATAATCAAATAATCTTCATGATTAGGGCCAAGGTGGATATGAATTCAAGGTCACCATTGGATATCCGGGGAAAAGCAAGAAAATAATGTCTCGGTAGTATCCCTATACGACTTCTGGTTTTCAAGTTATATCACCGAATCTGGATCTGACTCTGACCAACATCTAAGAATGATTTAAGACATATTTAAACGACAAATTTACCCCTTTTCTATTTAAAAAAATTGATTTGATCTTCTAATGACCTTCAATGTCGTGGTCCAATTCAAGGTCACCATTGGGTAGCAGGAAGTGGAACCCCCTATTTTTGACCCCGTAGATAAAAAAAGTGAAAACTTTTACGTTCAAATATGGTTTTTCGTGGATATTTAAATTTTGACCCTAGGAGGTCATGGTCAAGGTCAAACCCATGTACGATGACATAACTTACTTACGTAGTCGTGTAGGGAAACTACAAAGAAATAAGTTTCATGATTTTCCTACAATGGTGGCCCTAGATCTGACCTTAACCATTATGAACTTCAAGGTCATGTGAATGTCAAGTAGATTTTGTAGCCAGAGACGAATCCTGAAAGAATAGTTAAGTCAGTTTATGTGGGGATTCTGAATTATCAAGAAACTAAGGTGAACTTGTGCTGGACCTTGATGGTCAAGTCCAAGGTCAACTTCCAAAAATGATCAAGGACATTCTCGAACATAAAATTTTCCCTTTTTTTTCATTTTCGCGGCCAAAAGTATAGGGTTCCGTCAACGAAAAAAGAATTGTCCTTCAAATGATCATGAAGGTTTGGGCCAAGGTAAGATCTAAGGTCATAATTGGATATTCAGAGAAAAGCAAGAAAATAATGTCTTGATAGTTTCCCTAGACGACTACTGGTTTTCAAGTTATATCACCGTATCTGGGTTTGACCTTGAGCAAGACCTCCCAAGGTCAACATTTAAGAACGATCAATACTATATTTAACCGTGAACTGTTACGCTCTTTTCATGTACGGGGTCAAAAATAAGGGGTATTATTTAAAATAATCGACTTGACTTTCAATTGACTTTAAATGATGTCATGGTTAAGGTCAAATTCAAGCTAACTGTTGGATAGCTGACGAAAACTGCTATCAATCACGAGTTTTTTTTTCTAGAATTTCTTCCCCTTCGAGTCGCTAGTGTATTTGAGGTGTGGGCCTGCGCAGTTCAAAGTGTTGCCTGATTTTCATTATATATCAAAAAAATACGATAGGTAATAATATGTCTATTAGAATATATTTATTTTACATGTTACGTATAGAATGATGTCCACTAAGTAGCTCAAAACACTGAGTATCGTCATAAAAATAAGAACACAACTATTAAAAAATCAAAATTGCGAATTTCGTACACCACAAAGTATCTTTCAATATTTTTTAAAATTTTCTCTCAGTAATAAAAATTCGATAAAACAGGTCCTCCCCTCCCATGTCTTCTCCTGAAAAGCAAATTATGGTGTAACTTAATTTTCTCAGGCATATAAATGACGATATAGATCAATTTTTGATTTCTGTTTCGGAACTACTCGAAATACTTGTGGATTCAAAAAATAAAAGTATAGATTTTCGAAAAATGTTGACGAACAAATATTTTTTCAATCCTCGATATGTGTAATGACGAACTGTTAGCTGTGTGAAAAACGGTATATTTTTGCTGCTGTGCTGTTAAATTAATTTTCTGGAATCTGATCAAATTGGCAAGAGAAACTCAAAGCAAGAATCAGACTAACCAGAAAACAGCTAAGATCTTATATTTTGTTATTCAAAGCCGACAACTTAAAGTGACGTTTTAAATGTCCTGCCTATTTCTGTTATCTAGTAGGTATGAAAAACGAAACACGTTTTTTCATGTGTTGCTTATTAGTATTAAAAATGTGCCTTTTGGCGCTCTTTGGCTTTGCCTTCATAGCTGCCATTTGTGTCAAAAATATTTCATCAAGTAACGTCTATTTATAAACATCAAATTTTCCCCTCGGCACTATTATATGAACGTAAATATATAATTTGTGAGCCCCTGCATAAACAAAAACATTAAATGACTTCCTCGTTTCGGTAAAGATATATAGACCGTATCGGTGCCAAGCTCATCGTCGTGGAATTTAAAAAATGTTTTCCGTCGGAGACCGGGGCTTCCAGACAAAAATATTTTCATAGTGTTGCAATACAGAGGAATGTGTTTTTATGTTTTTGGTGAAATAAGGGCGGACCGTTGATATCATGGCAGGCGATATCAAGAAGCACGACAAAAGCTTCAAAAACCCTGGACATCGCAGAATTTTTACTTCCTATGCCAAAACTGGCGATTTAATACGAGCCCCTTCCCACTTCAGTTGGCCCAACTCAGGCCAAAGAAAGTTCTATACGGAAATCCCTTAAATTTTATTTTTTTAAACTAATTTTTCTAGGAAGTATAAAGTCAACCTGCTTGACGCCATTTTTTTATAATGAAAATATAAACATCGTTGTGACATATTTGGATAGATCTAAACACGTTAGCGTTATGTCGAGTTTCGAATCAGGATGTTGAATTGTGACCTGACTTGAAATAAAAACATATGTATGATTCTATAAAGTCCCTGAATAAAAAGAAGATACCCATCAACCATCCGTGCATATTCAGTGGCGACTAAAAATAATTTGTTGTATAGATTTTTTTGGTTCGGATGAACATGCGGGTCATCTCATTCAACAAGTCCGCTTTATGGAGGGGAGCTTCAGCAGATGGATCGATCTATTTATGGAATTGTCAGCAGTTGCGATGAAAGGAACTATTCACTCAAGTCGGCGTAGTACAGAAAACAACCCGAAATAGAACCGAAGAACTTTTAACCCAGAGCGGTTTAGATGTTTCCAGAGTTTTCTTATAAATAAGCCCCCTTTGTATTGAGACGACGTTTTCGGGCTGTACTTGATGGTTTTTTTGGACGAAAACTAGATTACGATAATACCGTCTGCAGATCAACTTTATAGACAAAGCGTGCTTTAAAGGTTTCGTTAAATACAGGGTGCGGCAGAGAGGATGGACGGTTTTAAAATAGTCAATTTTTACTCGAAAACAAATTTATTGATGGGATGGGATTCAGTTTAAATGGTTTTATTTTAATAAAATTTTGTATAAGTACTTAATGAAGCATAATAAGTAAATGATAAAAATTTCAAAACGATTGCACTGCTTTAACCCTGCGGCGGGCGCGCCTTTGAAAATCCCATGAGCGGTCGCACCGCGGTACTCTATACCGCAGGTAAAATAATTCTAGCCTCACTAGTAAAATGGATTTAAATTGAAAAATACATACAATACTAAACAATTATAGTCGTAGTAAATGCTTTATTTATTAAATAAGTATTGTAACTCAAAATAAATACAAAAACATCAAGAGATTCTCAAGTAATAAAAATCAAAAATACATTTCTACAAGTAAACGTTTTACAAAAAGGAATATATGTATATATATATACGAGTATATATAGTTTTTAAAAACTAGTCTTCCTCCATTGGGGGATAAAGACAACTATTACATTGCACCAATTTTTCACAGTGTGATTTACAAACAAATCTTTTGCATTGACTACAAGTAACTGTTGTTTTGCTATTTTTGTGTGCACTGCATATATGACAACGACCAATCCGATTTTCAGTCAGTGCGACAGGGACATTAACAGGAGTGTTGTAGCGAGATAGGAATTCCCTGATGTCCTTAGGAAGTGTTTCTATCTTAGCGCGTTCCTTTAGATTATTTTCCATAAGGGATGAACCTAGAGAGGTCAAATACTTCCTTCTTCTTGGCGGCGTATCTGCTGGTCTATTATTATTGATTATAATTTCGGAGTTTATTCCTGCAATATCTAAAATTCTAAAGAATATTGCTAGAGGCCACCTTCTTGTGATTCTTTGTGTTGTATACGAAGAGCATTTTTGGTCGACTGTATCGACGCCAGATTTTGTTCTGTTATAATGTAATATTTCTGGTTTTTGTGTTTCCTCATCAATTTCATCGTTGTTATGCATGGTGGACAGCAAAATTACAGCTTCATTTTTTTTAGAAACATGGGATACTAAAGTGACATCAGGTTGGAATCCAAACATAGACGATCCAACTGACCGCAACTTGCTCGGTAGGAATTCAGGCGGAAATTCCCTTTTGTTTTTTTTAGTGTACCAGTCAAAGTTAGACCATTTTTTAAAAGATATTCTGCCAATTCATAACTAGTGTAATAATTATCTGTAGTTAAATTTCTTTTAGTGTTTTTTATTATCTGCACTAATCTCTGCACAATATCGAATGGTTTGTTTGAATTTTTGAAGGGTCCCTCACGTTGTAATCCACAATATATTTCAAATTTCCAAGTGTAATACGTTTTACTGTCACAAAGAGCATATAACAGCTTTCACTCTCAAAATCGACATCATCCTCATAATCAGACCAGTTCTCCGCTAGGTAACGTAATTCTTTCTCAGTAAGTGGTTTCCTGAAGGCTCTTCTATCCCTAAAAAAATACCGGGCTTATATTTTTTTGTTCAAAAATAATTACAAAACTTTGAAAACTAATGCCAGATTGTTTAGACTATTTACAATAAAGTTTTCTGTGCAATATATATATCAAAAATACAAAAGGTATCATTTCAAACTTTACTTACATGACCGGTCGCGTTGCGGCACGGAATACCGCAGATCAGCTCTCGTTACTTTGACGCTCCGAAACAAACTGACAGACTTACACCAATAAACTTCGTGCAAGCCAGGCGCTCCTAAAAATAGACATGATTGCATACCTAGACGGCCAGGGCGTAGGACAAATATACCGATAGAAAAATGTATTAAAAATTTAAATTGCGGCATGGAGTACCGCTGCGCGACCGGCGAAGGGTTAAAGCCCTTTGACCTTTAATAATGTGTGGATGCACCCTGATGTGCTACACATTCTCCAACGCGCCTAGGCATGCTTCTGATCAGGTGGTCAATGTCCTCCTGTGGTATCTCATTCCAGGCAACCACCAACTCCTCTCGAAGTGCTTCTAGAGTCTGAGGAGGACGTTGCAAATTGAGCAATCTCCTACCCATCATATCCCGCACGTGCTCAATTGGGGATAAGTCGGGAGATCTTGGTGGCCATGGTAACAATCTGACATCATGTTGAAAGAAGTCTATTGTGACTCTTGCAACATGTGGTCGGGCATTATCTTGTTGGAAAGTTGGATCTGCCAGGGTGTCAAGATAGGGTAAAAGATGGGGTTCTAGAACTTCGTGGATATAACGCTGTGCGTTCATGTTACCTCTGATGAAGATTAAAGGTGACCTGGAACCATAAGCTATAGCACCCCAAACCATAACTCCAACAGTGTGATGAACATGTGGAACTGTGGATTCCTCCTTTCACCACGTCGCCTTCTAACCCTGGCACGACCATCGTGCATGCCTAAACAAAATCGAGACTCGTCACTAAAGACAATACTGTTCCATTCCTGATCCCAGAGTGAGCGTTGTCTGCACCACTCAAGGCGATTACGTCGGTGTTCTCGAGTTAAAGGGAGGACCCAGTGTGGCCGGTATGAAAACAAGCCAAAACTTCTCATTCGTCGGTAAACACGTCGCATGCCAATAGGTCTTCCGTGTTCTGCAAACCATTCATTTGCAATGGACCTGGTAGTGGAGAAACGGTCCCTTAAGGCCAATAATCTTAGGCTGAAAATTTTTTCACTTGTTATTTACAATAAGATAAATACATTCACCAACTTTTATTAAAATAAAACCATTTAAACTGGGTGTTCGGATTTATATGTCAACTTAGTATACAACAGCGGTACACTCGCAGAAATCTCAACGTACCCGATTTTTGACAGGGTTTTCTGGTTCGAATCCCTTCGTCGGCACATATTTCTTTTACGCGATTTCAAAGATGTTATTTGACGTCATCGTACGAAAAAATAACAAAGATAAAACTCGATACACAAAATAATAATAAGACAAGAAAAATAGTGCGGAGTCAACCTACTTGACGCCGTTATTTTAAAGCACAATGTAAAATACAGTTAATGAAGCTAAACAGAGATCGGAGAAATTGGATGTTATGTGTAAGAATTCGATATATTGTGCTTTTATAGAAACTGTACCTGCAAGTACCAGTTTCTCCACTCATTTAATTCTCATCAGTATAAGTGATCCGCTTTTTCTACAAATGTACGTGATATTGTAATTATCACCGAATGACCTTAGCGCCTACGGATCCGAGAAAACGGGTATGATTCAAGAATCGTGTTTATTAACGCAACTCTCGTTTCGCGTATTAGGACATTAATATTTATATCATGAAAAAACTATTATCCGACAACAGATTTTATGTCCTACAATTGCTTTCATATGGCTTTCGCAGGTTGCTATACCGGGGGGAGCTGAAAAATTGTTTCCAGTTGTCACGTGCCAAAATCACGTAACTTTTTTTTTATTATTTATCACTTATCCGTAATTTGAATTTCTCTTCATTGATAACACTGGACAACAAATTTTAGTTTTTTAATTGTATCTTGTGGGAAAAGTGCACTTCTTTGTTAATTTTGGGGCGCCGAATCCAAAAATGACAATGAAATAAAAAAATTAGTTGCAGTTTAGAAAAAAAACTTTTTATTTTTAAGGATATATTAAAAAAAGTAACAAGATTCATATACTTATAAGAATCACTATATGCGCTGTCTTTTTGCTGTTCTTTTATGGATCGTTTCTGGAGCATCTCTACCAAGAGTAGTCTGCAAGCATGGAAGGATTCCACTTTTCCTGGTAGCTTTTTTCCATTGTTGAAATATCCTGATGAAAACGTTCGCCGTGCTCATCACTTACGGCTCCGCAATTGTCAGGAAAAAAGTCCAGGTGTGAGTGTAGGAAATGTATCCTAAGAGACATATTACAGCCCATCTTTTGATACGATGACAGCATATTTTTGACAAGGGTTTTATAGTTGTCAGCTTTTCTATTTCCCAAGAAATTAGTGACCACCAGACGGAAATCATTCCAAGCAGTTTTTTCAATACCTGTTACAGTGTTTTCAAACTGTGTATCTTTCAAAATATTTCGAATCTGTGGCCAAACAAAAATACCTTCTTTAACCTTTGCCTCACTTAGTCTTGGAAATTTCTGACGCAGGTATTGAAAAGCTAACCCATCTCTATCTAATGCCTTGACAAAGTTTTTCATTAGGCCCAACTTGATATGCAGTGGTGGTAATACATTTTTTTTCGAATCTACTAATGGCATATGCTGTACATTTTTTTGACCTGGCTCTAGGAATTGACGAACAGGCCAGTTTTGTCTGGTGTAATGAAGTGCCTTTGCCCGACTGTCCCATTCACACAAAAAACAGCAAAACTTTGTGTAGCCTAGCTGCAGCCCAAGTAAAAGTGCAACAACTTTCAAATCGCCACAAATATGCCATTGGTGCTCATCGTATTTTATGCATGTCAATAGGTACTTCATATTGTCATATGATTCTTTCATGTGAACTGCATACCCTACAGGAAGAGATGGTAAAATATTTCCAATATGCAATAACACTGCCTTTAAACTCAATGTTGAACTGTCTATAAACAATCTCCATTCTTCTGGGTTATAGTTTATATTTAAAGCCGCCAGTAAGCCGTTAATGTTACTGCAAAAAACCAAGTTATTCTCCATATTGAAAAATGGTTCTAAGTCTTTGTGGCGTTTACGAATAACACATACCGAAACATCGACTTCTAACAAGTTCCACTGCTGCAGTCTTGATCCAAGTAACTCTGCCTTACATTTTGGAAGTTCTAAATCTCTTACAAGATCATTTAATTCTGACTGTGTTATTTTGTGCGGTTGGTGGCATGACGTGCTCGGTATAAAATCAGGATCCCTTGACGTTGATGGCATATCTTCTTCCTGACGAATCACTCGATCGCCATGATCTGATTCGTTTTCTGATTCGCAAGTGTAGGATTCTGGGGGTTTTGGAATAGGATTTTCGTCACTGTGAGGTACAGGTCTCATCGCAGATGGTATGTTTGGGTAGTTAATAACCGATTTTTTTTTCTTGGACATACCTGTGTCTTGTCCAACACAAGGTACCATGCAAAAGTAACAATCATTAATATGATTTGTAGGCTCTCTCCAAACCATTGGGACAGCAAAGCGCATAGACCGTTTTTTGCCATTTAACCAGCTCCTCATGTACACATGTATTACAGCAAATGTGGGGTGCCCACTGTTTGTCTTGATCACCTAATTTACAACCGAAATAAAGCTGATATGCCTTTGTTATTAGTGGAGTAATAGACCATCTCTGAGACGCAAAAGTCACATCACCACACACGTAACAAAACTGATCTGGATTGTTTACAATATAAAAATGTAGCACGTGCATTCTTGTGAATTACAGTATATTAACACTGTCACAGCAGGAACACATATAATTACCGTATCTCTAAAACTTGAACTAATATTGAAAAAATAAGTTTCATTCCGGTTTTAGCACATTAAAAATAGTAATATTTTGTTGATTTTATTTAGGATATTTTTTGGCCGTTGATCAGTGTAATAGAATGTCTATTCCTAGGCCAAACACTTTTCAATGATTTTCTTTTGGAAAATTTAATAGTTTATTGAATGTATAATTTCAATCGTATTATATCTTTCTCAGCGATTCAGTATGCTGTTGAGATCAGCAAAAAACTCTGTAATTTTTCTCCGTTAGTTGGTTTCCTATAAAACAGATCTTCTTCAAGGCCACTCAAGATACCTTCTTCTGCGTGTTTCGCTTTTTTGTTTCCGTTGAGATCGTGGTGCAGGGGAGGTTCATCATTTTCCCGACTCTGGGATAATAGGCCCCAAGCGCCAATTCATGGACTAGCACCCTTTTTTGTGTAACTTGAGTTTAGTCATTTTGGTTTGGGTGCGCTACGTCTTCCATTTTTTTATGGGATTTTGACCCTCAGCGGTAAGTTCTTTTTTATATACCTTCAGACCACGTGTCTTAATGCGTGTCCTGATGACGTTCGTTCAGTATCTGCTTTCTTTCATTCAATAGAAACAGAATCCTTTCTCCTCCAGTTGGTTTCATCCTGTTGCAGTTTTGCAAATTGGTGGAAGCCATCCCCTTGAAAAAAACCCTGATGCGAACAGGTAAAATATCATTCTAATTAACAATTTCATAGATCTTTATACATTTATTATTGCTTATTGAAATTCTTAGAGACTTCTTGATTTTATTATTATTTTATATATAAAAAAATACTCTCAAAACGTTTATTTTTAGAAATGTCCCACATTTTCATGACAGATCATTGCATGAATAAAAAGGCTGATGTTAAGCAGCTCAGTGTCATTTATTAATAAATGTTGAATTGCGAAAAGCTAGAACAAATTGAACCAACATCTTCACAAAATTAGAATACATTTTCTCACTCACATTTTTAATATAAACTCTCATAACCCATCTTTTCAAGGTTGTATCAATATCACACATTCTTACACTCATATGAGCTACACACTTTTTTCCAAAACAAGTTAAATCAGCATTTTAGTAATTTTGGGTGGAGATTTACCGAGCATCCCTCGTATACTTCATACCCAAAGTTGGACAAGGAGTTTTACAGTTCCACGTTCCGTCGCGTCAATCACTTGTCATCTGTCGACGCTTTATCTTTCCGTGCCGTTCCCCTCTCCACGTGTAGCGGTTAGAGACTGCATTCCGATTGTTTCACCAAAATCTCTTCACACGTGTTTTAATTTGTTCGGGTGGATTGATATTTTTAACATGTAACGAAGGTATCTGTCGTTTGTCAACAAGCCCAATGTCCCCGTCCTTTTGTTTTTATACTGATTACAAGTTCGATCTTCTCTACGTTCGTTCTGAAACACCTTGTGGCTGCAACCTCACCGACGAGTAAGTTGTCTGACAATTTAAATATGTCCTGTTTTCTTTGCTAGCATCACAATTGTGTTTTCAGACTCCTGATGAAGGCTCTATAGAGAATGCCGAAAGCTTGATTTGATCGTCAAAAGAGTCAACTTAAGCAAAAAAAAATTGCCAATATTAAACTTGTCTGTAGGTCTTCTTTGTCAGGCGCTGGACAAAAGTGGCCAGTAGTGGGCACGTCACTGCTTGCCAGGTTGCCAAAAATTATGGTAGTAAAAAACCCTAGAGAGAGAAAGACTGTTTAAAAATCTACTCTACTCTCTGTCTGAGATAAAACTACTCATTGAAAACTAGGTGGTTCTCAGGATACTTGGAACGAAGAACTCAGCGAACAAAGTACAAAAACTCCTTATCTTCTGTAAGAAAAACCATACATGGTGTGCCTCAGGGAACAGTGCGGGTCCTGATCTATTCGTGCTGTATATACAGTGGACCTCCGGTAATCCGACAAACATTATGCAGGGCAGTGGCGGACTATCGAATTTGTCGGATTATAGAGCACTGCCTAAGACCCCCTATAGTCCGGAATTTTTTACAAAAGAGTACCTTGTAATCCGACAAATTACATATACAATGGTAAGACTATGTATGTTATGTATATGTATGTACTTTGAAGTACAAATCATACATAGTTTATGTATGTCGAATTTAGTAAATTAAATAACAATAGAGAGCTTACATTTTATTATAAAATTAAGCATAAATGCACATACATATGTACCAAAATAATCAAGAATTATTAATCAAAATCATTAATGAATTTATCAAATTATGAAGCTTGGAAATATTCATCATTGTTTGTTTAAGGTTGTTATAACGCGAGATCAGAGCTTTGTCCCACAGTCTTCTCAAAAGTAAAAGTTCGTTGTAGGATGTACCATTCTCTTCAGCCCATTGTAAACCTATCTCAAAGGCGTTAATTGCGTCTGGTGCTGTGACTTGTGGAGCAGTTGCAATCACATCGTCGTTATTTTCCTGATTGTTGTATAATTAGAAATCTCTTTTATAATCTCTTCGTCAGACATTACATGAAAAACATTTTCCTCTTTATCCATTCCACGGCACCACATTTCCAAATCTTCCGGACTTATCTGTGTTTCAGTAGCGACTTGTTCTATAACTTCCGAAGTTACACTGATTTGTGGAACGTTGCTAGGAGTGGTGACGATATCTGGCCATAACTTTTTCCAAGACGATTTAATAGTTGATGACGATAACGCATTCCACGACTGACAAAGAGCAAAAACCAAGTCTTTCATATTAAATTCTTTTAAAGTTTTTTCTATTGGTTGGTCTTTTAATACGGCTCTCAGAAGTAGGTTTTTTTATAGTCTTGCTTGACAAACTGAACGATATTCTGGTCCATTGGTTGAATCAGTGCATTGCTATTTGGGGGAAGAAACATCGCAGTGATGCATTTATCCTAAGTTGTTAGTTCTTCTTCAGACGGATGACCGGGAGGCATTTTAACACTATGGTATAGGATTCGGCACCAGCCTTTATTTTTATTATTATTTTATTCCGGGTGCCGAAATCACTACCGGAATGTTAAACAGTGCTGAGCATGGGGTCAGAATGTTATCAATTTAAATTTAAATTTACTTACCTTCCGCTAAAAATACGTAAGATAATAATCAACGCACGTTGTTTCCTATTACGATATTTAATGATTTTAAAATTAATAATTTGGTTTAGCAATAAGAAAAATTACATGAAAAATGTATATATATATTTATATAGGTGAAAAATTAAAGCTTCCGCCTTTTGTTGGGTACTTCGACAAAATTTAAGCAAGGAGGACTCTTTATACTTTTTTATTCTCTCTAGCTTTCAATGGTCTTTGCCATCATCATCAGGAGAGTAGTATGTGAGGATGTTGCTAATATTTGTTTACGTATAGGATGAGGGAAACGTCCAGTAACATGGTGAGAGATGGATACATGGTACAATGGTCAAAATTATATAAAATGCACATGCCCACCATTTTGTGCAATCATCAAGTGGCTTCACGATGTAATGTTTAACTTTCAATTTCTAAAAAAATTTTTTATCTGTTTTTAACTTGTTCTTGTCATACAGCTGTGTGTATTTATATAATTTTAACATTTTACCATTTATCCAGCTTTCACCATGTTACTGGGTGTTTCCCTCATCCTTAGCGTAAACAACAATTAGCAACATCCTCACATACTACTCTCCTGATGATGATGGCAAAGACCATTGAAAGCTAGAGAGAATAAAAAAAGTATAAAGAGTCCTCCTGGCTTAAATTTTGTCGAAGTACCCAACAAAAGGCGGAAGCTTTAATTTTTCACCTAAACTGGTCTAGACGACAATGACCACGTCTCAAGTTATATATTTATATATATATATATATATATTAGTAGAAGCAGTTTAAATTGATAACATTCTGACACTGTTTTCAGCACTGTTTAACATTCCGGTAGTGATTTCGGCACCCAGCTTGTTATTGGTTAAATAAATTGAAATTGACCAATAAAATTAAGGCTGGTGCCGAATCCTATACCATAGTGTTAAAATGCGACCGGGAGCGTTATCAAGAAGCAACAACGCTTTTTGAGGAAAATTATGATATTTTAACCATTTTCCAACTTCAGGTACGAAGCATTCATCAAACCACTTTTTGAAAAGGTCTTTTGTCATCCATGCACTTTTTTGTCGGTAATAGTGTACAGGTAAATCAATGTTTTTGAATGCCCGTGGTTTATTAGATTTCCCAATGACCATCATCTTAAGCGCGCGTGTGTCCGCAGCGTTAGCACATGGTAGTATGGTTACACGTCTTTACTTACTTTTCGTCCAGGTACGTTACAAGAAACGAAAGTTTTGTTAGGCATCACACGCCAAAAAAGCCCTGATTCGTCTGCATTGTACACCTGTGTCGGGTCAAGATTTAAATCGTTCACCTTTTGCAAAAATCTTAATTTAAAGGGCTCTATGCAGGTGGCATCGTCAGAAAGTTTCTCTCTTGTAAGTCATTAAACGTATGCCATGAAGACTTTTAAAACGTTCTAGCCATCCTTTGCTGGCCACAAAATCATCTTTTTTTGTTATTTCCTTATAAAAAAAATTACCTTTCATGGCCAATATGGGTCCTGAAATTGCCTATTTCTTTCCTGAAGAAACCACATGTACAAAGCTTCTTCCACTTCTGGATGTTCAGCTTTCTTGAGTGTCTGTCGCTTGCCTGGTCCGCAGTCAGTAGTTGTAGTTTTCATTGCGATTTAAGCGGTCTAAAATATCACATTTTTCTTTAATTGTCAATGTTTTGTGCTTTCGCTTCTGAGTGTGTGATGAAATTGCTAGGTACTATACTTCATACACAATGAATAAATAGTAAACAATGAACGCACGCTATGCCGTACCGCTATCACAAGTAGTCAAATTCAAACTAAGCAAAACAATGCTTACGCGTCGAGCACGATAGCGGCGGCGCGTACAAGTTGTAACCTGTTCAAACCTGCGTGATCTACATTAGCGAAGATTGTCAAATACGTATGTATGTAATATCCAAAGACGTGTCGGATTACAGGGGGCGCCGGATAAACAGGGGCCGGATTATCGGGGGTCCACTGTACTACTTAATTTTGATAATCGCTTAACTGGCAGCGGTGTTATGACTGAAAATTAAAATAGCTTTCACATCGTCGCAAAGTTTGTTTGTATGCTTTACAGCTGTCCGAACGTTTTCAAGGGTAACCAAACATCTTTGTGGAGAGGTTACAATTTTTAAAAATTTAGAAAATTTGCTTCTTTCGTTTCTGATGCTTTCAGGTTAGAACATATTCAAAAACATTGCTTCTTTAGCAAAGCTCATCTTGAATCATGGAAAATTTGCATAGGTGAATGCTTGTGAAGTACCATGTCAATCTAAAATAAGTGACTTTGTAAACACCCTGTAGAATTCTTTAGCATTGAGCTTGGGTACGTACGGACGCCACATATGTCGACTTAGATTGTTAAATATAGTTTTTCTTTAAATAAGTGTAATGACAGAGCCGGCAACAAGTTTAATGGTTTCGATGAACTTATCTCTTATGCCTGTTAATGTTTACAGTGTGTATCTGTTTGTACAATGCGCTGCTTTATATTGTAATCATTGTACTACTTTTATGTACAGTGAGCATATCAGTAGTGCGAGCAAGTGTTTCCTTGACCGAACATTCTTTGAAAGTGACAGATGTTCTCTTTTTCATCGGACTGTATTATTGAGGGGGATGATCGTTTAGTGTCGATTGTACGGAAGATTTGATGTTAGAGATGATTAACTAGGTTTGTAGTTGCATTTTTATGAGTCACAACTGCCTGTACCATTTTTGTGGTAATTATACTAAGTGACATATAAATCCGAACAGCCAGCTTAAATGGTTTTATTTTAATAAAAGTTGGTGAATGTATTTATCTTACTGTAAATAACAAGTGAACAAATGTTCAGCCTTATCAGTTGGACATTCCGGTTTTTATACTGCTTTTTTTTAATTCACCAACGCTCTAAAAATGAATATTTCAGCCGCAGTAAAGAATCAACGTTGGCGGATTTTGGTTCTTGACATCCTTTACGATCGGTTACGATGCCTAGAGTACGGAGACCTGTACGATTTCGTCAACTTAGTGAGTTTGATAGGGGCCGTATAGTGGGACTTCGGGAAGCTGGACTTTATTTTCGGGCAATTGCAGTTAGAGTGCAAAGAAGTGTAGACACTGTGGTTAGGTGTTGTCAGGCATGGCTTCGAGAAAGCCGTACGCAAAGAGCAAGGGGCACTGGATGCCGCCGTAGAACAACAGACCGTGAAGATCGCCGCCTAAGATTATTGGCCTTAAGGGACCGTTTCTCCACTACCAGGTCCATTGCAAATGAATGGTTTGCAGAACACGAAAGACCTATTGGCATGCGAAGTGTTTACCGACGAATGAGAAGTTTTGGCTTGTTTTCATACCGGCCACACTGGGTCCTCCCTTTAACTCGAGAACACCGACGTAATCGCCTTGAGTGGTGCAGACAACGGTCACTCTGGGATCAGGAATGGAACAGTATTGTCTTTAGTGACGAGTCTCGATTTTGTTTAGGCATGCACGATGGTCGTGCCAGGGTTAGAAGGCGACGTGGTGAAAGGAGGAATCCACATTTTTTTGTTGAAAGACATGTTCATCACACTGTTGGAGTTATGGTTTGGGGTGCTATAGCTTATGGTTCCAGGTCACCTTTAATCTTCATCAGAGGTAAGATGAACGCGCAGCGTTATATCCACGAAGTTTTAGAACCCCATCTTTTACCCTATCTTGACACCCTGGCAGATCCAACTTTCCAACAAGATAATGCCCGACCACATGTTGCAAGAGTCACAATAGACTTCTTTCAACATAATGATATCACATTGTTACCATGGCCACCAAGATCTCCCGACTTATCCCCAATTGAGCACGTGTGTGATATGATGGGTAGGAGATTGCTCAATTTGCAACGTCCTCCTCAGACTCTAGAAGCACTTCGAGAGGAGTTGGTGGTTGCCTGGAATGAGATACCACAGGAGGACATTGATCACCTGATCAGAAGCATGCCTAGGCGCGTAGGAGAATGCGTAGCACATCAGGGTGCATCCGCACATTATTAAAGGTCAAAGGGCTTTAAAGCAGTGCAATCATTTTGAATTTTTTATCATTTACTTATTATGCTTCATTAAGTACTTATAATAATAATAATAATATTTATTTACTCAATGTACAAAGATAACAAACAATATGAGTAAATAAATATAAAATCAAAACAGGCCCAATAGAAGGCATCGCCTGTACATGGACCAATAATTTAAGTTGAAACTGTAGAATTCAAATGACAAAAAGGACAAAAATTAGCTACAGTAGATTATGTATTTAGTTGATGTTCGTATTTATGAGTTTATGAATTTCAGTCCTAGATATAGAATGTAGCCACTTTTTTAAATTTCTTTTGAAACAATTTCCGAAACGTAAATCTTTTAAGTCTTTAGGTATAATTTCATAAAATTTAGGCGCTAAATAGAGATATGATCGTTGCATTATAGATTTATGCGGTTGAGGAACTACTGTGCCACGAATTTTGTATCTGGTATAATGATTATGTTTAATTTTTTGGTCGGTGTTTACAAATTTATGGTAGTGAGTGATACTGTGTAAGAAATAAAGCTGTCTTATATCATACATTCGAACATCTGCATATAATTTTTCAGTGGGATAAAGTTTCGGTTTTTTAAATATCATTTTTAGAATACTTTTTTGAAAAACATCTAAATTATAGATATGTGAGGAACATGCAGCTCCCCATGCTAATATACCATATGTAAGATGAGGCTCAATCAGTGCATGGTATAATGTTTGAAGATATTTTTCTGTCAATATATTCCCAAGGTATTTAATTTTGTAGGATACAAATCTAACTTTCTTTAAAATATAATTGACATGGATGTCCCATTGTGTAACGCTTCCTTTCCGCAAAAAGTCCAGAAAAGATGGAATGCAATGAAGATTCCAACTTTTCTGCACAATCACAGAAAGGGGGTTACCATTAGCTTCCGGTAGCTCAGTCGGTGGCATGAAGACATCTACAGGCGTGTAGCTGTGTGTCGACCATGGCATGGCTAGAGGATAGAAGAACAAACAGAACACAAAAATTTAACAGATTTTATTTAACAAAAAAAAAGGCATTTTCATTACATTACAATTTTACAAAAATAACAAAATAAGTTTTACATCTTTGGCGCTGCTATAACGCTATCGACTTATCTTTCGCTGGTCCATTTTTACTCGATTGAAGCCAGGATGGCCAGGGGCTTGAAGGGGAGGTCCCAGTTATGAGGGGTGACCTCCATATAGTGGCTTCACAACCAGTTGTAGGCGAAGTTAAAGGCGATGGCGCTGCCAAGGTACATGCATGGGTGAAAATATTGGCCAAGGCTAGGCAAAGTGAAATGGAAAGAGAAAGGGGGTGGCCCCAATCTGAAAAAGAACCGTGTGCATTAGCAACGTGCCCTAATGGCCAAGGCATTTCCAATCTCAGTCTGCCTCAAAAGAGAACCAACGATTTTCTAGGTTAGAATTACATTATATAGTTTGATAAAATCAAACCGAAAATTGGAAATGCCTTTCATAAAATAAAATCATGAAATAGCAAAAAAAAGCGTAGAACAAGATGGTGGTCATCAAAAATTTCTCCACATGCTTCTGATATAAAAACATAATCATCGAATATTCATAATCAACGTACTTATAATTTCACTGAACTATGAATATATATACGCGCACAGAGGTAAAATCGATGTGGATCGATTTCCACCTCGATTTGATTAAAGTTATGGCGAATGATCGAAGTAGTCGAAAATGACGTTCGATGGATATTTTAAAATCGTACAAGAAATAAATCACTTACATATCGATTATCTATAAACTACAGGCAGATCCAGCAATAAAACTGTATAGTATTATAAAACTCACCATTTTTGTCCTATACGGACACACATTCTAGAAAATTCTAGCACATGGTGCTATATAACCTTGTGCTACTGAGAAGAAATTTCTAGCCGTTGTTCGATCGGCGGCTCAAGTGAAAAGGAAGCGCGAGGAAGATCGCAGATCAGGAACTCCGCATCAAGCGCTCCAAGCGGAAAATTTTCCAAGCAAAAAAGCTAGAGATGGGATTAATGAAATGATAATCGAGAAGTGATTTAATAAATACGATCGGACGGTGAAACCGTTACAATTGTAAGTGAGGATCCAAGACCACTCCAAGGTATTTTATGTTGGACACTCTATTAATTTGCATTTTTTGTTCATTAATATTGAAGGAGAAATTTGTGTAATTTGGCAGATGCCTAGCATAATATCCAAATGGTAAAAAATGTGTTTTAGAGTAGTTAATGCTTAATTTTCTACTGTTAAACCACCGAATAATTTTGATAAAATCATTTTCAATTACATTTTTCAGATCAGACCAGTCAGTGCCTTCATATAATATTGCAGTATCATCTGCAAAACTAGTTATTTTGCCAACACAATTAATTTGGAAAATATCATTTAAATATATATTGAATAACAGCGGACCTAAGACAGTTCCTTGTGGGACACCACACTTAATATACATTTCTTTACTAAATGATCCTGATATCTGCACAGATTGTGGGCGATTTGACAAATTTTTCGATCAGTGAGTACGCGTTTCCTCTGAAACCAATTCTCTCCAATGCTTCTAATAATAATTTGTGATTAACCATGGTTAATTTATGTAATAAAGCATTACAAGTTATTTTAGCAACAAAGTTTGGTCAAATCAATCGCAAACTATGTTCTAAATTCCTATTTAAAATAAGTACGAGATATTTCCTTATCTTTCTTCAAGAAACAACTTTTTTGCCACAAAAAAACGCTCCAATAGCTATTTTCAACAACAAAATGATAAACAAACCATGGGCGTAGGGGAGAAAAGCATTTACTTATTAAGTAAATTCTTTTAGTCAAATTTGTTCTGAAAGTAGTACAAACTAATCTGATGTACCTATTAAAGTCTACTTTAAGCTTTAAATCAATAAATCATCAAAACTACTGAACTGAATTACATTAATTTTATATCATTATAAAGGGAATTGAAAGACCTTTAAAATAAGGTATCACTCGACCCCCCTTTCCATTTAAGATTTTAGGGTTGGTGTCACCCCCGCCCGGGGGCTGCACATGTTAACTGAGCTGAGAGCTGCCAGTAAATGCGTCTGTTTCGTTTTCGATGCGCCACCCTGTATACATGATTCAAATTAAAAGCAAATAAATATAGCTTGGAATATAACTGTTGAGTATCCGCGAAAAAGTTGTGATTGAGAAAGTCATCAATGATGCTGACAAGAGCAAATTTTTCTCGTCATTACTCATTGTATGCTACAGATCTTTGTTCTTTACTTAAAATATTATGTCATGGTAGTCAACACCACTTTTCGTTGTATTAAGTCTATTTTGATTTGGGTTTTGTCAGTATGTTAGTTCGTTAGTATACTAAGTGACATATAAATCCGAACACCCAGTTTAAATGGTTTTATTTTAATAAAATTTTGTATAAGTACTTAATGAAGCATAATAAGTAAATGATAAACATTTCAAAATGATTGCACTGCTTTAAAGTCCTTTGACCTTTAATAATGTGTGGATGCACCCTGATATGCTACGCATTCTCCAACGCGCCTAGGCATGCTTCTGATCAGGTGGTCAATGTCCTCCTGTGGTATCTCATTCCAGGCAACCACCAACTGCTCTCGAAGTGCTTCTAGAGTCTGATGAGGACGTTGCAAATTGAGCAATCTCCTACCCATCATATCCCACACGTGCTCAATTGGGGATAAGTCGGGAGATCTTGGTGGCCATGGTAACAATTTGACATCATTATGTTGAAAGAAGTCTATTGTGGTCGGGCATTATCTTGTTCGAAAGTTGGATCTGCCAGGGTGTCAAGATAGGGTAAAAGATGGGGTTCTAGAACTTCGTGGATATAACGCTGCGCGTTCATGTTACCTCTGATGAAGATTAAAGGTGACCTGGAACCATAAGCTACAGCACCCCAAACCATAACTCCAACAGTGTGATGAACATGTCTTTCACCAAAAAAACTGTGGATTTCTCCTTTCACCACCTCGCCTTCTAACCCTGGCACGACCATCGTGCATGCCTAAACAAAATCGAGACTCGTCACTAAAGACAATACTGTTCCATTTCTGATCCCAGAGTGACCGTTGTCTGCACCACTCTAGGTGATTACGTCGGTGTTCTCGAGTTAAAGGGAGGACCCAGTGTGGCCGGTATGAAAACAAGCCAAAACTTCTCATTCGTCGGTAAACACTTCGCATGCCAATAGGCCTTCCGTGTTCTGCAAACCATTCATTTGCAATGGACCTGGTAGTGGAGAAACGGTCCCTTAAGGCCAATAATCTTAGGCGGCGATCTTCACGGTCTGTTGTTCTACGGCGGCGTCCAGTGCCCCCTGCTCTTTGCGTACGGCCTTCTCGAAGCCATGCCTGACAACACCTAACCACAGCGTCTATACTTCTTTGCACTCTAACTGCAATTGCCCGAAAAGAAAGTCCAGCTTCCCGAAGTCCCACTATACGGCCCCTATCAAACTCACTAAGTTGACGAAATCGTACAGGTCTCCGTACTCTAGGCATCGTAACCGATCGTAAAGGATGTCAAGAACCAAATCCGCCAACGTTGATTCTTTACTGCGGCTGAAATATTCATTTTTAGAGCGTTAGTGAATTAAAAAAAAAGCAGTATAAAAACCGGAATGTCCAACTGGTAAGGCTGAACATTTTTTCACTTGTTATTTACAGTAAGATAAATACATTCACCAACTTTTATTAAAATAAAGCCATTTAAACTGGGTGTTCGAATTTATATGTCACTTAGTATATCAATTTAGCTGAAAGTTACCCATTAATAGTACCACCTATTTTTCAGCATTTTTATGTCGTGAAAAGAACAATTTGTAAGGTATCAAATGCTTAAAAATTGGACAATCCACATTGTCGAGTATCATAGATCCACGAACACCGTACTTTTGTGCTTGAGACCAGATGCTTCAATGAATGCGTGGGAACCATTAAGTAAATCCATATTCGGTGCAGCGTATTTCCGGAAAACGAACCATTTTCGTAAAGACAGTGCGTGCACCGAAGTGTAAACATGCGGGACATGTGCAAAAGCAGTGCCGTGGTGGCCGCAGTCGTGGCGGTCCTGGAAAAACAACAAAACAGCAACGTCGGCGCTGAAACGGACGAAAAGCGTCGCGGTCGGTTTTCCTCGATGCACCGTCAGCGTCCCGCTTCCCCGCAACCGGCTAAATTTAGCCAGGAGAACGCGACGGCTAGCAGCGCCTTCGAAAACGCCGTCAAAGACTTCCATTCGGTGGCCGAGGACGTGGAAAAGATCTGCTCGGGGAGGCAATTGAGGAGGGTGCCGGTGCACGAGTACGGTCCTGCAGCCGCGATCGCGGGGAGAAGTCCGCAAGCGCCGCCACGCAGGTCCACGCAGCAACAGGTGAAACAGGTAGGTTATGTTACGTCTCCACTATGTTATTACTACAGGGTGACTTCGAAGTTGAGTCATTTATTTTAACAGTGAGTAGATCTAACATTTTTCTGGTAAAATTAAAGTAACAAAGTTATAGCCCTTTAGAAGTTTGACTACCGCCCTGTCTCAATAATAATATTATGTGCTCGTGTTTGGCAACAACGGATATTATCGGTTCATCGCATCGGAAACAAAAAAGCGAAAGAATTTGAAACGCTTATCACGATGTTTTTACTACAATTTTATTCAGTTGTATTCAGTCAATGTGTCAGTCGGTAACGCGTGAGTGAATAGTGGTGTTTGTTGTGTGGCTCAAACGAAATAAAAAATGGCACATGTTTACGAAAATGCTGAACTTGGCATCACGGATTTATGCGGATCGGTTTCCCAATCGAGTGCAACCAACCCCTCGTGCCTTTGTTAATGTAGTACAAAGGGCTCGTGAATCTGGTGACCTAAGACCTCACAGGGGAGGACATGCCGGTGCTCCAGGACCGCACGATCAAATACAGGTCCGCACTGAAATACTTGTCGGGAGGATACTTTATAAAACAAGGTCACTTTTTTTATTTTTACACACATATTTTGGTTTATCTTTATCTGAAAATTAATGACTCAACTTCAAAGTCACCCTGTATATTGCGCAACTAACTTTACGAGGGTTGTCTCATAGGAATTTTGTATTTGAAAAGACGGATTTACCATCGGAAATGTTGATCTTTAAGCCATTTTTCTAAATAGACGCAATTTTTTTTACGAATTTTCCTAGACGTTTCTCATCCATTGTCGAACCGGTGGTCTCGAAATTTCTGACCCACAACCTATCACACTTTCGCTAGGGCATTGATTAAGATCATGTGTACTAAACTCGGAGCGAAAGAGACACCGCCCAATAGGGCACGAATCTCCATTTTTGTATATATATACGAGGGTGGTCCCAGAAGTACCCGACCTAACGAAGAAAACAAAAATTTTGTAAAAAAATGTATTTATTTTTCAACACAATCTCTTTTGAGGTCTATACACTTTTCCCAGCGATGTTCAATAAGTTCGATACCCTTTTTATAATAAGAACTGTCTTGCTCTTCCAAATAGCCATTAACTGCCGACATCACTTCTTCATCGTTGGAAAATCTTGAGCCATTTTTTTAAGTTTGGAAACAGAAAATAATCCCAGGGGGGCTAAATCTCGTGAACAGGGTGCATGAGGTAGCAATTCAAACTTTAATTCGTTAATTTTGGCCATTGCAATAACGGATTTGTGAGCTGGTGCATTGACTTGATGAAACAACACTTTCTTCTTAACCAAATGCGGCAGGGAAACGCCCAGTAACATCCTGAACGTAAACAACAATTAGCAACATCCCCACATACTACTGTAAGTTAAGAAAATTTAAATTCATTTTACACTATTGTTGCTACTGTTATCAATGTAATTGCAGCTCCTGATGATGATGGCAAAGTCCATTGAAAGCTAGAGAGAATTAAAAAAGTATAAAGAGTCCTCTTTGCTTAAATTTTGTCGAAGTACCCAACAAAAGGCGGAGGCTTTAATTTTTCACCTAACGACAATGACCACGTCTCAAGTTATATATATATATAATCAAAATCCCATTTACCCTAAAGGGTGTATGGTTAAACAAATCAATACAAAACCTACTATTATTTGTACATTTTTTGTTTAATGCAAGTTTCTTAGCTTCTCTCCAATCCGTTCCTCTTTTCATCAATATCTCCCAAGTTCTTTGTGGCCTGCTCCTTCTCCTTTTTCCTATCACCTTACTCTCCCAAATTTGTTTCACCGGTATGTTGTCACCCATTGTTTGCAAATGTCCCCACCATCTCAGCTGCTTCATTTCTATGTATCTAACTCCGTTCTTATAGTCTCCTTTCTTATTTTGTCCATTTATTTACCCCTTTAACTCGTCTCAAGTATTTCATTTCAACTGCCTGAAGTTTACTTTTTTGTTGTTAGATAGAACCCAGGATTCGCATCCATATGTCCATATATTGTAGTATACACTCTCATTTTTGTTTTCTTGGACACCTCTTTTTTGTTGATAAAACCTTTACTCATCGCATAGTACAAGTTGTTTGTCTTTCCTATCCTTCCAGAAATTTCTATTTCATTTCTGCCGTTAGGTTCCGATATAGCTCCCGAATATTTAAAGGAGTGCACCTGTCTCCATTTTTGTAATAAGCCTTAACACAGAACGCACGCCACTCAAGCGCTCCATGGCGACTAAACCTTATTTATGAAACAACCCTCGTAAGAGAAAAAAACTTTAGGATTACCTAAAATAAATGGAAGTTGAAAAGTGAGGGAATATGTTTCCTTTATTAGTTAGTGTAAGTGCATCTTTTTTGAGATGTAAATGTATTTCAATACATAGAGAACAGAAATCCAGAATTGGGAAGAGAGAAGCGATGAAAATTGTAAACTCAATAAATTTGTTTACCAATACAAAAAGCCGTTTGCATATAACATTTTATACAAAATTGTAACTCACATCAGTTTTAAATAACAAATACAGGGTGGCCAATATATAACTGACTGATTTAAATTGCGCGCAATTTTTTAAAGACGTATCTTAGTAGGTGGCGCCGTAGTAGTTGTTTAAAGCACATGTGTCCAATTCATCATGGAGCGTACATGATCCCACAACGAGCCCGTACTGTTAAATCGTTTTACTTAAATAACGAGTCGATTGTTTCAACGATTCGGAAGCTACGACAAACAGGTGAAGTTAAAGACTTGCCAAGGTCGGGCCGTGTTCGAACTGTTTGTACTCCGGAAAATATCGAGAGAATTCGTGAAAGTGTAGTGGAGCTCCCTGAGACGTCTACCAGACATCGTTCTCAAGAACTGGGTAATCGTCGCACGTCATTACGAATATGCACTATTTTAAAAAAGAGTTGCATTTGCGCCCATACAAAATTCAGTTAACCCAAGAACTATAGCGTAGTGACCATGAAAGCCTCTGAAAATAAAGTCATGCAATGTCGCTGCTTAATGCCTCTTGTACACGTTTTTTCTGCGTGAAAATTTACGGACAATTCGCCGTGAGGAAGCCCGGTTGTCAGTGTTATACGGATCACTTTGGAACATTTTTGGAGCAATTTTTTTAAAACTTGTCTCCCTCTTCCCTAAGTTGGTTCTTGACAAGTATATGCGCCATATTTCTCTCGGTTTTCCAAAAATTGGTTGTATCCCAAACCGTCTTTTTCTTTTTTATTCTTTTTCGAGTTTTCTATACCAGAAGTCGACGTCAAGCCGAAACCGGGTGATAGGCAAAGTCATGACAGCTATCAGAAAAATATTTAAAAAAATTCTATGTATGTGTTTTGAAAATTATAGGTCTTTGAAAAAGATATAGAAATTTCACACCCTACGGCAGTCTGTCAAATCCTGTTACTACAAATATTATCGTTTTTTGGATTTTATTTTTACAATGTAATGATGAATAATGCATCTTCAAACTGGTGTCTCAACCTTACTGCTAACTTTTTTCGTTCAGGAAAAATTGCCACTTATTTCCCAACCAAGTATTCCAAAGTAAAACTTTGCTCAACTTTAACTGGCTGTACTGGAAAAAATGTACTACGAGAGTTTGGCAAGTAACCTTAAAAGTTGTTTGATAACGATTCCAAAATGGTATAACACTTAGAAGATTACTCGTTAACTTATGCACAATTTTTATTTGAAAAAAAAACTGATGAAAATTTTTCAAAATTTCCTAATTAAACAGCGATTATGAAAACGCACAAGGACCCTTAAGGATAACTGTTTGCACAACAGTGGGCGTCAAAATACTGCTGATGATGATTTACCTTTACAGCAAATGCTCAAACTGTTTTCCTTCAGCCGCAATACACGCTCACATCTTCTTAAAAAAGATCGGGTTATTAAACGAGCGAATCCACGGTTATTAACAAAGTCAGCTGCTTCCAATAGTCTTTGCCGTAGCTCAGCTACATTTTGAATCGGCTTGAAATACACTTTTTCTTTTACAGTTCCCCAGTAAAAAAATCTAAAGGATTTAAATCAGGTGATCGGGCTGTCCACGGTATTGTACCAGACCGCCTTATCCATCTGCCTGGAAAGTTTTAATCGAGATACTCTCTCACTGAGAGTGCATAGTGCGCTGGGCAGCCATCATGCTGAAACCACATGTCCCTGTAAATACTCAGTGGCACGTCCACCAATAAATTTTGTACATGATTTTTCAAAAAATCCAAATAAACTTCAGCAGTCAAAGTCTCTGGGAACTCAAACGGACCAATTATTTTACCATTTAAAATTCCTGTCCAACGGTTTATCTTGAAGCGATATTGAGATTTATCTTCTCTCATCAAATGTGGGTTTGCTACGTGCCACTCGTGTAAGTTATGCAGGTTCATGTACCCATCTTTCTTAAATGTGGTATCATCCGACCATAAAATTTTTTCAAAGAACTGTGGATCTTTCCTGTGTCTTTCTAACATTGTGCGACAAAAAGCAACTCGGGGCTCATAATCCCGGGGCAGGAGAGGTTGAACACGCTGTATGTGGTATGGATGAAGCACATCACTTACTTGCTATTGCACACTTTGATACCGATCAGTACTCCTTCGTTTTTTGCGCATCTTTACATGTTCGTGCTTGTTGATTTCGTACTGTTACTAATTTTGGATTCGTGAACTGGACTGTTGATCGCTTGTGATTTAGATTTGGACTGTTTAATTGCTCTTCAAAACAACATTTGCTTTCCTTAGACTATCTTTGATAGTGTGATTGTGCAGTGCTGCTATGTCCTTGTACACCGTACAAGAATATGCTAACATGCACCTCATTTATGGGGAATGCAGATGCAACGCTAGTGCTGCATCGAGACTTTACTGTAAGAGGTACCCGAATGTAGCTCGTCATCCAGATCATCGAGTGTTCACAAATGTGCACCGCTTACTGTTCTCAGAGGGCCAACTACCAAACCAATCACACGGTGAGGGAAGATATTTCCTTCCTTACGAAGACGTGGTGCTAGGAGCTGTCGAAGAAGACCCGAGTACTTCAGTGCGTGCAATAGAACTAAAAACAGGTGTGCCCAAAAGTACAGCCCATAGAATCTTGCAAAAAAACGTGCTCCATCCATACCACGTACAGCGTGTTCAAGCTCTTCTGCCCCGGGATTATGAGCCCCGAGTTGCTTTTTGTCGCACAATGTTAGAAAGACACAGGGAAGATCCACGGTTCTTTGAAAAAATTTTATGGTCAGATGAGACCACATTTAAGAAAGATGGGTACATGAACCTGCATAACTTACACGAGTGGCACGTAGCAAACCCACATTTGATGAGTGAACATAAATCTCAATATCGCTTCAAGATAAACCGTTGGACAGGAATTTTAAATGGTAAAATAATCGGTCCGTTTGAGTTCCCAGAGACTTTGACTGCTGAGGTTTATTTAGGTTTTTTGCAAAATCATTTAGAAAATTTATTGGAGGACGTGCCACTGAGTATTTACAGGGAAATGTGGTTTCAGCATGATGGCTGCCCAGCGCACTATGCACTCTCAGTGAGAGAGTATCTCGATCAAAACTTTCCAGGCAGATGGATAGGGCTGTCTGGTACAATACCGTGGCCAGCCCGGTCACCAGATTTGAATCCGTTAGATTTTTTTTACTGGGGAACTGTAAAAGAAAAAGTGTATTTCAAGCCGATTCAAAATGTAGCTGAGCTACGGCAAAGACTATTGGAAGCAGCTGTGTTTGTTAATAACCGTGGATTCGCTCGTTTAATAACCCGATCTTTTTTAAGAAGATGTCGAGCGTGTATTGCGACTGAAGGAAAACAGTTTGAGCATTTGCTGTAAAGGTAAATCATCATCAGCAGTATTTTGACGCCCACTGTTGTGCAAACAGTTATCCTTAAGGGTCCTTGTGCGTTTTCATAATCGCTGTTTAATTAGGAAATTTTGAAAAATTTTCATCAGTTTTTCTTCAAATAAAAATTGTGCATAAGTTAACGAGTAATCTTCTAAGTGTTATACCATTTTGGAATCCTTATTAAATGCGCCAACTTTTAAGGTTACTTGCCAAACTCTCGTAGTACATTTTTTTCCAGTACAGCCAGTTAAAGTTGAGCAAAGTTTTACTTTGGAATACTTGGTTGGGAAATAAGTGGCAATTTTTCCTGAACGAGAAAAGTTGGCAGTAAGGTTGAGACACCAGTTTGAAGATGCATTATTCATCCGGTTTCGGCATGACGTCGACTTCTGGGACACCCTGTATACATAGTATGCAAGGATAATATTTTTCTTATGGCGATTCATGGCGAGGTCGTCTGTAGCTTGCCGCAGAAAAATCTCAACACAGCCTGGTCCCCTGGTCAGTTACATATCGGCCACCCTGTATTTTAGAAAACGCCTTTAAATCTTCTCCAATTTCTGAATATCTAAGTTATGATACGGGTACAAGAAGATCGGCCTTACTATAGTTACATATACAGTTTTAATAACTTGAATGTTATTAAATATCTATCTGTTATTCCTTATCACAAAACCTAATAATTCTGAGGACTCATGTTGTTAATCGTTTACTCATAATTGAAAAATCACTCAGGTACCACAGAACTACCCAGTTACTAAAGAACCATCACTCAGTCCGTCTGAGACCCGAAGTTGCACCCAAACCTCCAGTCATCACACACCTCGAAAGGCTCCGGAAATACCTCAAAAGCCATTCAAACCCTTGCAAAACAATGAGACTGGGGTTGACAATATTTTAGACTGTGATACGTCGAGGCGTTATAACCCACAAGACGTCAACGGTGAAGCTGTTGAGCGCAAAACAAGACAGCATACAGAGCAACGAAGTACTACTTCGTCGAACGAATTTGAAGTGACCAGTGCTGGTGGAACGATCTTCCAAATCCAACAAAGTGGCTGGTCAAACAGCGGTGATATTGTGAAAGTGTTTCAAGTGCCACAAAGCTATAGTCACCAAGGTGATAGCAAAAGTTTTTCAGAAGAGGACTCGCGCAGCCGTCCTCTCAAAGTGTGCGACCGGGCTCCGAGTGGGTCCCAAACGAGTGTCATCGTGGTGCAACAGGACGAGGATGATGATAGTACGACACCGGATCCGTCATCGAGTGATGATAGTGACGTGGAGCGGGAACACGTGATCAACGAAGGGCTGGCCACCATCGTGGAAGAGTTGGGCAGTCTTCATTCGTATGGGGGTAAGTTTGGTTGTGTTCTAGGAGGAATTTATGAAAGTTTTTTGAGTCGTCACTTATCCTGCGTCAGGCGATAACAGAGAAGTTGAATTAGGAAGTTTATTATAATCGAAAATACTGCTATTTGCACTTGTATACAGGGTGTCCCAAAAGTATGGACACGTAAATTAAGGATGCTAGAAAAAACCGTTGGGAAATCTTGAAACTGGAGATACTACAGACCAAAATTTGTGAATTGACCTAAACATACCTCAGTCCAAAAGTTCATAGTTTGCGAGATACAGGGCGTCAAAGTTACAATTTTATTTTCTATTTTCAAATACTCCCTTTTTAAATTCAGCTTTACTAGTTATAAGAAAATTAACCTTCGAACACGAGTTCTTCCTCCATTTTCAGCACTGGGATCAAAAGTGAGGGTTTCCATATGAAAAAATCAAATTGACCTTCAAGGTCACGGACACGGTCAGAATTAAGAAGAGCAACAATTGACCTTGAAACAACCTCTGGATGTAATTTATACGAGATTTAAACCATTGGAGTGGAATATTTTTTTGGCTTTCTATTTGTGGAATAAAAAATGGGGGTGTGAGAAACTCAAAAGTGCTCTTGAAATGACCTTCAAGGTGGACGTCAACGTCAAATCTTCAAATCCACGGTAACCGGTAACGCTAACTAAATGTTTTATCATCATGATACAAATAATGCATTTTAACTTTTAAAAACAAATATCTCGATAACTATTAGCTCTAGGCACTTCTAACAAGTAAACCTTTTTTGTTGTGGAAATACGAGAAAATAATATTTTTCCGGTCTGTTGTTGTATACAGGGTAGCACAAAAAAGTTATATGAAATCAAGTGGCGCATTTAGTGGTTACCTTGGATTTAAGGATTTGACGTTGACATCCATCCTGAAGGTCATTTCAAGGGCAAGCTGAGTTTCTCACACCCCCATTCCTTGTTTCAAATATAGAAAGCCAAAAAATATGCCATTCCAATGGTTTAAATATCGTATAAAATACATCCAGAGGTTGTTTCAAGGTTAATTGTTGCTCGTCCATGGAATGTTGTGAAGCAGCTGATAGATGGAAAAGGAGAACATCAAATAACTTTAAATGCGAAAATTCCAGGACACCCAATGGCACATCTGACGGTGATCTTAATTCTGACCTTGTCCGTGACCTTGAAGGTCAATTCAAGGTCAAGTTGATTTTTTCATATGGAAACCCTCACTTTTGATCCCAGTGCTGAAAATAACTTGCAAAGCTGAATTTCAAAACGGAGTATTTGCACTTAATAAGTTGAATAATGATATTAAGCAGAGTTCGAATTTAAAAGTGTTTAAGGTGAAATTGAAAAGTCACTTTATGAATAATCAAAAAGCATAGTGATGTAATTCCTTATTTCAAAAATAGAAAGCCAAAAAAATATGCCATTCCAATGGTTTAAATATCGTATAAAATACATCCAGAGGTTGTTCCAAGGTTAATTCTTGCTCGTCCATGGAATGTTGTGGAGCAGCGGATAGATGGAAAAGGAGAACATCAAACAACTTTAAATGCGAAAATTCCAGGACACCCAACGGCACATCTGACGGCGGTCTTAATTCTGACCTTGTCGGTGACCTTGAAAGTCAATTCAAGGTCAAGTTGATTTTTTCATATGGAAACCCTCACTTTTGATCCCAGTGCTGAAAATAACTTGCAAAGCTGAAGTTCAAAACGGACTATTTGAACTTAATAAGTTGATTAATGATATTAAGAAGTGTTAGAATTTAAAAGTGTTTAAGGTGAAATTGAAAAGTCACTTTATGAATAATCAAAAAGCATAGTGATGTAATTCCTTATTTCAAAAATAGAAAGCCAAAAAAATATGCCATTCCAATGGTTTAAATATCGTATAAATTACATCCAGAGGTTGTTTCAAGGTTAATTGTTGCTCGTCCATGGAATGTTGTGAAGCAGCGGATAGATGGAAAAGGAGAACATCAAACAACTTTAAAAGCGAAAATTCCAGGACACCCAACGGCACATCTGACGGCGGTCTTAATTCTGACCTTGTCTGTGTCCTTGAAGGTAAATTCAAGGTCAGGTTGATTTTTTCCTATGGAAACCCTCACTTTTGATCCCAGTGCTGAAAATAACTTGCAAAGCTGCATTTCAAAACGGAGTATTTGAACTTAATAAGTTGAATAATGATAAGAAGCAGTGTTCGAATTTAAAAGTGTTTAAGGTGAAATTGAAAAGTCACTTTATGAATAATCAAAAAGCATAGTGATGTAATTCCTTATTTCATAAATAGAAAGCCAAAAAAATATGCCATTCCAATGGTTTACATATCGTATAAAATACATCCAGAGGTTGTTCCAAGGTTAATTGTTGCTCGTCCTTGGAATGTTGTGAAGCAGCGGATAGATGGCAAAGGAGAACATCAAACAACTTTGAAAGCGAAAATTCTAGGACACCCAACGGCACATCTGACGGTGGTCTTAATTCTGACCTTGTCCGCGACCTTGAAGGTCAATTCAAGGTCAAGTTGATTTTTTCATATGGAAACCCTCACTTTTGATCCCAGTGCTGAAAATAACTTGCAAAGCTGAATTTCAAAACGCAGTATTTGAACTTAATAAGTTGAATAATGATATTAAGCAGTGTTCGAATTTAAAAGTGTTTAAGGTGAAATTGAAAAGTCACTTTATGAATAATCAAAAAGCATAGTGATGTAATTCCTTATTTCAAAAATAGAAAGCCAAAAAAATATGCCATTCCGCAATGGTTTAAATATCGTATAAAATACATCCAGAGGTTGTTCCAAGGTTAATTGTTGCTCGTCCATGGAATGTTGTGAAGCAGCAGACACATGGAAAAGGAGAACATCAAATAACTTTAAAAGCGAAAATTCCAGGACACCCAACGGCACATCTGACGGTGGTCTTAATTCTGACCTTGTCCGTGACCTTGAAGGTCAATTCAAGGTCAAGTTGATTTTTTCATACGGAAACCCTCACTTTTCATCCCAGTGCTGAAAATAACTTGCAAAGCTGAAGTTCAAAACGGACTATTTGAACTTAATAAGTTGATTAATGATATTAAGCAGTGTTCGAATTTAAAAGTGTTTAAGGTGAAATTGAAAAGTCACTTTATGAATAATCAAAAAGCATAGTGATGTAATTCCTTATTTCAGAAATAGAAAGCCAAAAAAATATGCCATTCCAATGGTTTAAATATCGTATAAAATACATCCAGAGGTTGTTCCAAGGTTAATTCTTGCTCGTCCATGGAATGTTGTGAAGCAGCGGATAGATGGAAAAGGAGAACATCAAATAACTTTAAAAGCGAAAATTCCAGGACACCCAACGGCACATCTGACGCTGGTCTTAATTCTGACCTTGTCCGTGACCTTGAAGGTCAATTCAAGGTCAAGTTGATTTTTTCATATGGAAACCCTCACTTTTGATCCCAGTGCTGAAAATAACTTGCAAAGCTGAATTTCAAAACGGAGTATTTGAACTTAATAAGTTGAATAATGATAAGAAGCAGTGTTCGAATTTAAAAGTGTTTAAGGTGAAATTGAAAAGTCACTTTATGAATAATCAAAAAGCATAGTGATGTAATTCCTTATTTCAAAAATAGAAAGCCAAAAAAATATGCCATTCCAATGGTTTAAATATCGTATAAAATACATCCAGAGGTTGTTCCAAGGTTAATTCTTGCTCGTCCATGGAATGTTGTGGAGCAGCGGATAGATGGAAAAGGAAAACATCAAATAACTTCAAAAGCGAAAATTCCAGGACACCCAACGGCACATCTGACGGTGGTCTTAATGCTGACCTTGTCCGTGACCTTGAAGGTCAATTCAAGGTCAAGTTGATTTTTTCATATGGAAACCCTCACTTTTGATCCCAGTGCTGAAAATAACTTGCAAAGCTGAATTTCAAAACGGAATATTTGAACTTGTTGAATAATGATATTAAGCAGTGTTCGAATTTAAAAGTGTTTAAGGTGAACTTGAAAAGTCACTTTATGAATAATCAAAAAGCATAGTGATGTAATTCTAATAGACAAGAATGTAAAATTATAGAAATTGGATTCAAAAAATGTGAAAAACAAATAATTGTACAAAATTGACATTGTAAATAAATCTTCAACAAACAAACAATGCTTTCCCGGAAGTAAAACATCAGGACGTTGAAAACTGCATAATTTATGCCACCAAATACCATGAACTATCTAAAAAAAAACTCAAACAATTGGGATCGATGACAGATTCTGGGTAAATCTGTGAATAAATCAAGTGTTTGTAATTTTTCGTTTGCTAAATTAGATATTCGTGTTTTGCCTGATAACGTTTTAACGGTAGCTGGATGTAATGGGACATTACCGTAATTCTTTTCAGGTCAAGCCGCATAACTGCACATACACATATTTGGCCGGTGTAATATGCAACATCAATCATTTAGATTTATTGGCGACAAACTATGATGAACGGCGGTATACGGTGCATATTTTGTAAAACTTCTTGAGTGCCATAACAAGTAAGGTTCTAATGTTCGGAGCGCGATCCTAGATTGAGCGGTGTACCGAGTGGGCCATTAATAAGGGATATCACATGTACGAGGGGTACAGGAAAAGAAGTTACCGAGCAATTAAACAAACGACGTACGATCTCCTCATCAAAATCGTTTTGGCGTGAAAACGGAACATATACTAGGTGACATATAAATCCGAACACCCAGTTTAAATGGTTTTATTTTAATAAAAGTTGGTGAATGTATTTATCTTACTGTAAATAACAAGTGAAAAAATGTTCAGCCTTACCAGTTGGACATTCCGGTTTTTATACTGCTTTTTTTTAATTCACTAACGCTCTAAAAATGAATATTTCAGCCGCAGTGAAGAATCAACGTTGGCGGATTTTGGTTCTTGACATCCTTTACGATCGGTTACGATGCCTAGAGTACGGAGACCTGTACGATTTCGTCAACTTAGTGAGTTTGATAGGGGCC